ATCTCCTCTGGATGTCCCCCCTCCCTGACATCTCCTCTGGATGTCCCATAGGCTTCACCCTCAGCATGTACTCACCTGAATCCAGCATGTTCTCCAAACCTGTTCCCCCTACTTATCCCCACCTTCTTTCCCCAAACCCAGGAGAGACCTCACTGCTTCTGCAAGACATTCTCCACACTGACTCCCTCCCCGCCCCCCGCCCCCAATTACCGGACCCACTCTCCACCCTTCTCCCTCCTGCTCTGCGTCCTAGGAGGGTGACCTATATGCACCAACTATTAACCTCTGGCTTCCGGTTGAATTCAGCCACCAGCAGGAGCCTGGTGGGTGGGAGGAGAGTCAGGTTGGGGTGTTCACTGTCCAGCCCTCTTCTCTCTTCAGTGTGGGTCGTCGGTGCTCATACTCATGGCCTTCGCTATACTTTCAGCTTCAAGTCTTAACAGCTTCAGGTAACTGTCAGCTCACACCTTCAGGCCGGGGGTGGTAACTGGTCCCTCTACTGCTGGCCCCGGGGTACTGCGCCTTCTCCCGGCTTGTCTTCCTTGACCTTGCCCACCCCTTAATCCCTTAATAGCCCTTTCTTTAAACTTCCCCTGGCGTCTCCCTTTGTGAGCGCCACATCTTTCCTGCTAGGGCCCTGCCTGCCCGCTCTCCCCGAACCCCCTCATGCAGCCTGATCCATTCTCTTCTAAGCCATCCCCTTCGTGCCGTCCTCCTTCCACTCCATCTCCTTACTCCAGGACCCCTCCTCTGCTGCCCCAGCCTCCTCCCTGATCTCGCAGGCTCCAGCCTCACAGGTAGCCAGAAGGAAAGTTTGAAAATGTAAATCAGACATCAACTGCCTGCCCCCTCTTTAAAACCCTTCCGAAGCTCCCCCTTGGTTTTGGGATAAATTCTAAGCTCCTTAGAGGATCTGATAAGGTCTCTTGAGCTCTCTCCACTCCCCACCCCCATGCACCCCATACCCCATTCATGCTAACCACTGGCCGGAGTATGAAAAAGCCAGTAACTCACAAGTCTGCACACCTTTACATAGGCTGTGCCCTTTTCCTGGTCAAGCAAGCACAAGCGCGCGCTCACACTCACACACACACACACACACACACACACACACACACACACACACAC